AACAAGTTTTCATCCAATTAAAGCTGAGGAAAAAAAGTACCAAAAAAAATACTCCTGGAGGCCATCACAACAAACAATGTATGAAAATGTGGTTTCTTCCCAAAACAGTAACAGCAAATTTACATTAAAGCAGAAGAGATTGAAATAGCTACCTGGTTTGAGTGAAGATCCAATGTCCCTAAACGAGAAAGAGAACCTAACTCCTCTGGTAATATTGACAATACATTATTCCTGAAAATTTGAGGTAACAAATAACAGATGAACATCAAAAGAGCCAAAACTTTCAGATAACTATAAAATATGTCTCATAAACAGTGAACAAGAATATGACCCCATATAGAATTCCACTAGGGAACAGCAACCCGTTATTGATGGTGGGATTGACAAAATTCCTGCATCATTCAGTATCAATATGACTTATCATATAGTAAAAAAATAAGGATATTTTCTAACACAACTCTGTATTTCACTCACTGTTCTGATGAAGGTCAAGACGGATAAGACGCGAAAGACATCCAATGTTCTCTGGCATACCGCTCAGCAAGTTCTTTGCTGCACAGATTTCAAAATTTGTTTACATAATGTGATATTTAAATATTACTGATATAACTGGCAAAATATGGAACAGCAAATATTACATGCATTGAGTTCTGTAAGCAGTGTCCATGATGCGAAAAAGTTTTCAGATAAAGCTGTTAGCTTGTTCCCCTGACACAGTTAGAAAATATAGCATAAATAAGCCCCAAAATACATCATTAATGATTATTAGTTACAACAGAAACCCCCAACAAGATGCTCCACAGCAATCACAATATAGAAAAATAACTGACTTTACTACCTCAACATCTAGCTTTGTCAACTTTGAACAGTTCTTAAGATCTTCAGGCAAGCTGGTAATTTGATTATTTGATGCCTGGTGTACAAAAAGGCAAAGCAAGCAGCCAGTTATGGACTATATATGATGATAAATAAAGCAAGATGAACATCTGAAACTTGTAATTTCATGACAAGAAGATTTAGCACATCATATATAGGCATTCTTAATGACAAGCTTAGCTGATCTCTAAAAACTAATTGATGAATGATGACCAAATAAGAAAAGGACCCAAATTTACACTGTTCAACCTGAAAGTGATTGGAAAAAGAGGTTGTAAAAGAACATCAAATCTTCTTTGAAGATCACCTTAGCATCCATCCATAACAGAGGTTAAGAAAATGGTTGTGAAAGCCCAACAAGGCACATGTTTGAGATTGAAACTAACCAACAGTGATAGAGTTAACAAGGAGGATTATGTCCAAAAAGAAGTAGAGAACCTCAGGTCCAAAAATATTTGTGACTTCATAGCAGAATTTACACATTATCAGTGGAGCTGGGAAATGTATTCAAAGACAAGGTGATTTTAAACGTGAAGCAAAAAGTGGAAAAACTCATCTGGAAAGCAGATCCTTAAAGGGCAACAAAAGATAAATAATGATAACTATGATGATCGGTGAATAGAAAAGTAGTGTCAACAGAATATTGCATGCACACCTACCTTTAGGTCTGATAAATCTGAACATTTTCCAAGTGAGCACGGAAGTTCCTTAATATGATTGCTTGAACAATCAAACCTGGAATTGTCACAAAAGAATGATTCAATAGACAATAAAGATTAAAATTTCAAACTCTTTTCTTCACAAAAAAAGCAATCAAAGTATAAATAGTTCCACAAAATGAAGTATTCAGAAAATCACCATAAACTTGAAAGTAAACTGTTGCTAGAGACAGGGATTAATAGGGTAACAAACTCTAAATTTATACAATATCTTATTCAAATTGTCTAATTTTTGGCCCCTTTTTGATCCAGAAGAAGCTAATCCAAAAAATCCTTTTGATGCTATTATAACTCAAACGCCCAGCCAGTTCTGGTTGTGAAAGAAGTAACACTAGGCCATGAAAATGGACCAAAAAACTCAGCAGCAGGCGTTTGTGTTATGCACTAAAGCGCATGGAATGAACAGATTCTCGCTAAAACAAAAATAAAAAGGATATCTAATACACTCAAGCATTAGGAAACTGCAGATGAAATGATCATACCAGACAGGAAAGACTTATCACTTTCTTTTTCTGTGTCAACCCATATGTGTCAAAAATAAGTATAGGACCACTAAAATACATAAATGCACCAACACAAGTATACAAATGCAAAAATGCCAAAATGGCAACAAAAAAGAAATCCAGCCAACTATTATTTATTTGAAAGACTTGAGAGAGTTACACAGGAGCTTACTTGACCAAAGAAGTTGCTGATCCAATCTCCTCCGGTATTGCCACTATTGAGTTAAATGACACATCCAACAACTTAAGCATGGAAAGCCTACAAGAGTAGAAGGAAAAAAAATCACACACGAAAACTTGCCTGCATAACTAGATAATTCCAAAGAACCAGGTAACAGATTTCAAAGTTCAAAACAACTCACTGTCCTATGGCAGCCGGAAGGTCAGTAAGCATATTGTGACTGACATTCAACACAGTCAATAATGGTAAATTCCTCAGGTCTTCTTTCAATGACTCAATATTGTTATGTGCTAAGATTAGCTTTTGTAGCTCAACAGCCTTAATATACAACAAAGCAACATCAACAACATTTTATATCTCATTCAAATGAAATTTCAACACTCAATTTAACAAAAAGGTAATTAAGCTTAAAATTTGGAGAAATTTCCATAATTTACTAAAATAAAAGCAGCAGAAATAAATCTTAAATTAAATTACCTCCCACCACTTTTCACCCTCCCCAACAGCATCCAAGCTTCTGTAGACCTCTACTGGCACCTCTCTTTTAACATAACAAACAATAAATTGAGAATTGGATTGAAGAACTAAATAATGAGAGAATCAGGGATGGATTCGAAATGATAGGAAGTGATTTGGGGGTCGAAATGAACATTACCTGAGAGATCGATTGGATAAGTTGAGAGAACCGGAAGTTCTTGCAGCTTTCAGAAGCCGATCCATTTTGTTGTTGTTAAGACAAGAATGGAGCAGTGATCTGGTTTTTGTTGTTTGGGTTTTACATCTGCTTGCTTGTTTGGTCCTTACTTTTGTCTTACGTTGTAATAACAGAGAGTAATGGGCACACTTCTACTTATGTTCTGTCATCTGTGCCCATCCCCCGTGAACTTTTAACCTTCTACTGCACAGAAGCAAACCATGGCAGCAAACGACGTTAACAAGACCCATAAAATTACTAACATACCCTGAACATAAGAACTTGGATTTATCTATCTAAATGCATCTTCAATCTTATCTGGATAAGGTTTAACATGTAGTATGAGTAATTGCAAAGAACTTCACAACATGTTTAACCATGTTATCACTGATATAAAGCCGGGTCAGAGAGGTTGACACCTTATTCAGAATAATGAAATTTATCATTATATCTCCATTTTCAGTGACCTTATCATCTGAACTGCTCTAAAGAACAGATTTATATTAAAAAGAACCTCCATAGTCATTGATTCTTTACTATAATTTATGTAGAATATAACATAGAAAGCCTTTTACCAAAGAAAAACAATGATTAACTCAATATCCTCTTGTTCACTATATGTTGAGTAACCAGAGCTAGCCTTTTGGTGCATAATGAAAAAACCTGTCTATTCCCCCCACCCTGAATTTTCAAGGCTTGATATTATGTCCGCTGCAATTTGTTTTGTGTTCTTATTGTCTATCTTTTGCTTCATTGTATTGGTCAACTATCAGGGAGTTTAACTTGTAATATGATTAAAGTATCACTTATCTTATGAAATGGAAATGGTGGCATTAGTGATCTAAGTTAGAACCCAATATTGCACCCTTGGAAGATGATATTCAATGACTTTATGGTGATATACTTGTGAGGGGAGAATTTTATGTAATTTGTCACAGCCATAAGCAACAATTTATGACCCTGTAAGGCGAGAATGTTGGAAGTTAAAAATGATCCCCTTATCTCTTCTCCTATTTGAAAATGGACTACCATCTCCCCCTCCTCCTCCTCTTGGAGGGTCAATATCTTTACCAAATGATTTTCATCACCATCTTGTACCTTATATTTCTATATATTTTGTGAATTCTGTCACATTTAGAACCATTTCTCAAGTTTGGTTATCTGATAAGGCTCATTAACTGGAAAATCAATCAAGGAACTAACAATCTGGTTAAGTCAGTGGAAAACTGCTGATGGAAGTAAGATTCTGAACCTCCATCAAACTTGTCAGTTTTCAGGTTGGACTAATTCTCTTTTTAAATTATAAATTCAGATTAATATAGTAAGTCTATTGCAGAACATCTGGGGAGGGAAATTTGTCATACAGAATAGTATAATTCAGAAAGCCAATGGTCAACCAATTTTACATAGATAGAATAGATTAGAAATAAAAAATGAATAAAAAAAACAGCTCTTGATATTCAGAACCATTGATTGTGTTGTGTAGCATATATTAATCCTAAAATCAAACCATAGATTGACTTTGCAATTGTGAGGTAGTAAAAATAATGTCTGAGGTTTCGAGGGAAGTTACTTGGAAACCTTAGCCAGGACTTGTTGCATTGACTTGGCCATTATTTAATTTCCTTACTTGCTCCAACCAAACATTAAAGACTTTTTTGGATAAGATATTCTGCTAGTGGCTGTCTTCTTGGCTTTGTTCCTTCTCTTCTTATTTTCCTGATTTCAATCAACAATTATTGAAGGACTGGTGCAATATCAAGAGACTAGGTAAATTGTTTACTGCTCTTCTTTGTTTCTTTCTTTCATCTTTGGTCGTTTTCTTCATTAGGATCTTTAATTGTGGCATGAATTGATCTTTGGAGTTATTGTTTTGTTTGTATTCTCTTATCTTTATATGTTTCACATGATTGTTACTTCTGCTTCTTAATTTTCATTTCCTGAAAGCTATAAGTTAACACTTCTTGCCAGGAATTTGCTTAACTTCAGGGAATGACAGTCAGATAATTAATGATTGAAACAAATTTAACATTTTGATTTAAAGGCTTTTGGATTATAGGAAGCATGGATTATATGGAGCTTGCTGGGACAATGCTTGAACTGATGAAATGCATAGGGGCTCCCACCTGCACATACTTGGACAATCATCGAAATCTTGAAGCAAAATGTGAAAGATCTCAGAAGAAGATTGGATGATCTAAATATTCGGAAGCAAAATATTTAATCAGTAAATGAAGCCGAGATTCGTTGTAGGAAAGTGGTGAAGAAAGAAGTGGAGAAATGGCTTGAAGATGTACAAAGGATGAATACCAAAATGCAAAAGATTGAACGAAAGTTGTCTGTCATTTCATACATCTCACGTGCCCGCCTAGGCAAGCTTGTTTGCCAAATGATCGAAGAAGTGAAGAAAATTTATCACCAGGGCTGTTTCCCTGGGGGTGTGGCAATTTATGGACAGCCTGCCAATGGGGTGACATTGCCGACAACCAATTTAGAAGGTGAAACTGAGGTCAAAGACCAAGTATGGAGATACTTGATGGGTGATGAGGTTGGAATGATTGGAGTACGTGGAATGGGGGGCATAGGGAAAACTACAATCATGAAGCATAGCAACAATCAATTGTTGAAAGAGACTCTATTCGATAAAGTTATTTGGATCACTGTGTCAAAAGAATTGAATATTCTCAATCTACAAGGAGCTATTGCACGTGCAATGAATCAATTTCTTCCTGAAGATGTATTAGAATGAGCAACTGCACTGATTGAAATCTTGAAAACAAAAAGATATTTATTGATATTAGATGATGTCTGAGAACAGTTCTCTCTATTAGATGTTGGAATTCCTGAACCAACATTACATGGAGGGAGCAAATTGGTATTGACTAGTAGATAGACTGAGGTTTGTAGATCCATGGGATGCACGGTGCTCAAAGTGCAACCACTTTCAAGGAGGAATCATTGAACTTATTTTTGAACCATGTAGGGGCATACTGTTCTGCAAGTTCCAACTTTAATGGAACTTGTGAACCTTTTTGTTGAGCGTTGTGGTGGTTTACCACTTGCCATCATGACAATAGCCAGAAGCATGAAGGGGGTAGATGATGATCATGAGTGGAGGAATGTGCTTAATGAGCTAAATGAATGTGTAAAAAGCATGAAAGGATTAGACACCAAAATATTTCACTGCTTGATGTTCAGTTATGACCGTTTGAAAGATCCAAAAATACAAGATTGTTTTCTGTATTGCTCATTGTATCCTGAGGATTATGCAATCGAAAAGAATGAGCTAATAGAAAATTGGATTGATGAGAGACTTATTGATGAATGTGGAAGTAGACAAGCAATGCAAGACAGGGGCCTTAGTGTTTTAAATAAGCTAGTAAACAATTCCTTGTTAGAGATGGCTATGGTCTGCAGTAGGATTGTGGTTCGGATGCATGATGTTTTGAGAGACATGGCATTATCGACTAAATCTGGTGATCATCAATTCATGGTAAAAGCTGGTATGCAATTAAATGAACTACCAGGTGAGCATGAATGGACCAGCAATCTTGAGAAGGTTTCCTTGATGGATAATTCAATATTAGAAATTCCTCCTCACATGCCACCTAAATGCCACAATCTGCAACCTTGCTTTTGCAGCAAAATGACTTTTTGGAAAGAATTCCAGAATCTTTCTTTGAGCACATGCACGGTCTAAAGGTTCTAGATCTTTCTTATACAAGTATTCGAGGTCTGTCTAGTTCCATTCCAACTTGGAAAATCTTGCTGCATTGATACTTAGAAATTGTGACAAGTTAAGGCACGTGCCTTCATTAGCAAAGCTTAGAGTGCTGAGAAAGTTGGGTCTTTATAATACTGCTATCAATGGGCTCCCTCATGGTATAGAATGTTAGTGAACCTCATATATCTTGGTTTACATTCAAAGGATCTAAAGGAGCTCCCAATGGGCATACTAGCAATGCTTTCTCATCTCCAATACTTGGCAACTACCCTGTATATAAATGCAGAGGAAGTAGCCAAATTGAGGAAACCAGAGACTTTTTCAGGGTCATTTCTTTAGTTGCTAGACTTTGAGAAATATGGAAAGTCTATGCAGTGTCAGTGGCCTAGAAACTATGTGTTTGTTGTGGGATCATCTAAAGCTAACAAACCAGCATACACTCTTTGGTCAGAGCAATTCTAGAGAGCTGAGCATTATAGGAGTGTAAAATTTACTAATGGGGAGATAAGGAATGAAGATCCTATTGTGCTTCCAAGTGACCTTGGTGATCTGTATATTGAAAATTAAGTGCCATGATCTCAAAAGCTTAAGCAATATTTCTTTGTTCCATGAAGCAAATGACTTAAAGAAATGTTAAATCCGGCAGTGTGAAGGGATGGAGTGCATGGTTGACTTTTCATTATCTTCTTACAACTCGCTTCAGAACATTGAAGAGGTAGACCTTGAAGGTTTGTGTAACTTGCAGGAACTTGTCAGAATTGGAGTAGCAATTGAATCTACATCTCAAGCTCCAACACCGGCCACCATCTTCTCTTCCCTTAAAATACTTCGTCTAATTGGTTGCTCAAGCATGAAGAAGGTCGTTTCACTTGAACAGCTACAGGATCTTGTAAACTTGGAAGAAATTGTTGTTATATCCTGTAAAGAAATAGAGTTTATAATGACACCAAAAGAAGACGAAGAAAATCATCAAGGAGAAACAAGGGGTGTTGACGTAACAACAGTTACTCTTCCCAGTTTAAGGAAATTGACATTGGTCTGAGTAGCCAAAGTTGAAAAGCATTTGCAGTACTGGTGTCATGATTCATGTTGCTTGTTTTTAAATAAACAAATCTTTTGTTTGATATGGATTGTGCTCAAAATTTAACTACGAAATGTTAGCAAGGATTACACGTAAATGCACATGGTCGTAACAAGTAATACAGTGATAAGTAGAGTTGTCGATCCCTCGAGAAGTTGATTTACTATTTGTTACTAATTATTAAAATTGTAACAAATTAAGTTTTATCCAAACAACAAAAGGAACAAGTTGTTAAAATTGAAATAAAATTTACGCTAAAAATCTACTTTAACTTGGATTGCAAGTTAAATGTGTAGTGGAGAAATAATATAATTAAAGCTTAGGATTATGATTTCAGCTATTACTTTGTAAGGATACAAGATCAATCAACTACCTACTTTTTATGAGAATCAATGTTAGTCTAAGTTCCCTAAGCATGCATGGTACTCCGTCGAGTTATCACATAATTGCTTAACTTCATTAACTATTTAGATGTTTATAGAACATTAACCAAAGCTAAGTTCATTAAGTTTAGGACCTATAATGACTAGGTATGATTAATAGGTATACGTCTATTATATTAATTAATTATTCACTTAATTTCTTAATATGGGATGAACATACATTACTCAAATTTGAGTCTTTTTAGATTGTCCTTCTCAAGCCTCATTTAAAACTCTATACTCAACTTGTTGGTGATCAAGCAACAAATGAGACAATAAGTATAAATTTGAATAAATATTGATATTATCATAAAAACAAGCAGAGGAAGAATCCAAAGTATTCCAACTACACAATAGCATCCACCATAATTTTAGATTAAAAAATCTAGCTCAATATGTTCAAAAGGAAAGTACACATTTCAACAAACAAAAACATTGTTCTACAAAAAGTGTAAGAGAAAGAATCAAATCTAGAGTGAAAAAATATTTTGTTGCAACTTTTGAATCTTCCGGCTCTTGATTCCTCTTCTTTTTTCTTTTTTGTTCTTGCCTCTTTTTGCCCAAAATGGTCTTTCCAAATCCTTCAGTGCAAAACTTTTTATTTATACTTCTTTTTTTTAAGTTTGTCTTAGAAATTCGTGTAGGAATATTCATTATCTGACGTGTTTTCGTTGTTGCGAGAATAGAATTTTGCTATAGCGAATTTGTTCCTCACTTAATATTGTGAACAGCTTCATTTTCGTTGCAGCGAGAATGAAATTTCACTGTAGCAAAAATTCTTTTGACCCAATATGCCCAATATTTCGCTACAACGAGAAACTCTTTGTTTCACTGGACAGCGCTGCAGTGCTAGAAACTTGGTGCTGTAGCGTTGCAGGTTCTGTTTCTTTGTTTTTCTCCTTCAAGCTACTTACACTTTCCACTTCATTTTCGGCTATGATTCCTTCTGATTTGGGCTAAGTGCTGAACATCAAAGTTATAGCTTGTCCTCTCAGCTTTCTATTGGTTTAAGATTTACCTCAATCGGACTTTTACAGCTCAATTTATGCCCTAAACGCTTTAGCTTGTTTGATTGCTTTTAAGCCCACTTGCACTCTCTTTTGCATTCATGCTTCAAGTCTTTGTATGTCCTTCAACATTAAGGGATTAAATAATCAGAGGCTGAAGTGAGGGATTTTGATAAGAAAATAAGTTAAACTTGCATAAATGGAACTTGGCATTACATAAGTTGAATTATTTCTAAAAAAAAAACTAAAAACTACCTAATGATAAAAAAAAATTAAAAAATTTAACAAAATTCAAGCTCCAAAATACCTATAGTAACTCTATATAATAGAGTTATCAATTCAGGCAGATTCTTTGCAATCGCTTGATGTAGGCAGATGTCAGCAGCTAAGAGGATCCATTTTATCTCTTCTTCCTCTCTCAAGCAAATCATTTTAGATTCAATGGATTGGTGGGAGTCAGTAGAATGGGATGATCCCAATGCTAAGGATGTTCTTTCTACCTTTGTTTTACTACGACCTACCTTCGAATTTCCATCAAAAGAGGATGAGGATTAAGACCTGATGACAACAAGGATAGTAAGTCTTCTGCTTTTTCTTAAAACTACAAGGATTTCATTTCTCAGCTTCTTTTCAAGGACTTTATATTTTTGTTGTAGTTTGTCTTTTTTAAGACTAGTAATAATGGGGATCGAATAATAATTTCCCTTGTTTTTTTATTATTTTATTTTCAAGACTTGGAATAACCAAGAATGGAGATGGATTCAGCAAATCTAGTGGACTGAAACTGCCAGACACAACAAATTCTTGGTTAGACAAAGTTTGAGTCTCAAGGAATGCAGGGCCAAATGCTTACCAAACTATTCTTCTATGGCCTACAAACAGACAGATATAAGAGGAGGCAGCGGTTGGCATTTGGTTTAGCAATCTGATCCATGTTAAATTGCTAAAATCAGGTGGGATTGATCTTTGTTAAACAGATATCTGCTTGTGAAGCAGGAGTGTGAGTACTTTTGGCCTTTCTATTTTTACCAATGAGCAGTTGAGAGTTCTTGAGGCTTTATAATAATTTCCACTTTTTAGTCTAGATTTCAGACATTATATTCAACCAATCCAGACTGTAGCAGGCTTCTTGGCTACAAGGAGAGTGGATTTAAAAGCAAGGAAAGTTCTGCTTGATAGTGAGTTGAACTTGAAAAATTCAGATATTGGCATGACAACAAATTTTCAGAGGCAGACCAAGCTGAAGTAACACAAATAGAAAGGTTGGAACTTTGTAGTGTACTTCTATGCCTTAAAATTTTATTTATAAATTCATATAAAAAGGCATATCCTTCTGACAATGTTCTACAGGCACCAGATATGCTATAGATGGGCTGTTTTCAGTAAAATCAGATTTGTTTAAGCTTTGGTGTATAGTTGCTGGAGATAATTACATCCAAATCGCAGCCTCAACCTTACTGAATATGTAAGTGTCAATAGATATTATTTTAATTTCTTTTTTTTGCTAATTATCTCAAACTAATTAAGTATAAAAGGGTTTCTACTGCAGGCACAGAGATTATCAAAAGAAGACTGCTTAGGAGAGACTGGCAATATATCTAAGGTGACACAATGCATTGACATCAGCCATTTAGGTGTACAACAGCATTCTGATAGGCCAAGCGTGTCATATGTGGTTCAGACTTCAGACATTGGCAAGTGAAAATGAATTGCCTCAGCTTCACCAACCTGGTTTTTTGTTTCACCAGAGTCTGCTTGAAGCAGATGCTTCATCCGGTAATCATGCATCATCCTCAAGAACTGAAACAAGTATATCATTGTTAGAAGCTGGATACAGGATCTTTTATACTGGAATAATGATTCGATTCCAGTTGAAGTTCAGGGCTTGTAATTTTAATGCAAATGCTTACTAGTGGGAAATGTTTCATGAGTTGAAATTTATTCAAGTATAAGTAGTTTTCATCAATGCACCATCTAACTTTACAGGCACTATTACTAATCACTACCAATTGAAAAAACAAAAAATCATTGATAACCAAATTACTATTATGAGTTAATTTGTTGTTGTTTTGACTTGTTAAGAAAGTGAGACTTTATCCTTTTCTTTGATGTAGTTTTGACAAATGATATTAAATTTGTTATAGGTAAAAAGCCAAATATGGTCCAACCAAGTTACTCAAGCAAAATTTAAAACTTTATTTTGAGTAAGAATAGTTTTATGTATGCAATTATGCCATGTCAAGATTCCAATGCAGTAAAGAATAGCGCGCTTAGGTCATCAAACTAATAGAAAGAAGCTCAATATCCAACAGTGCAGATCATTTTTGTGGCAAAGCTTCCTGCTGATACATTAACAACAGTGCAAACTCTGGGGTAAAAGAAGAGCAACAAATTGATTAACAGAAATTTTCCTTTATCTCCTTTACTAACAATGGATCATAATGAAAGGGCTTCTTTGTTTTGGAAGAAGCCATATGAAATTGGTGGTAATGTGCTTACGAAATTTGGCAACCAAGAAGGCTTGCGCTTGTTCTTATCCTCATGAATCGAGGTGATTAGTAAAGAGCTGCATGTATGGAATCTTTGCTTTAAAAGTAGCCCTTGCAAAGGTTAAGCAAGAGAAGTTCATATGTTTTTAGGTAAGTTTAAATTGAGGTTTAAGCTGTAGGGCGTGTGACGGGTTTTGTTTATAGCAAAGCCATGAAGTGACAGAATCAAGCCAAAAGAACAGAAACCTACAGAGCAGATAGTATTATTATTATTTTTATAAGTATTAATTTGCCATCTTCCCTTTGCTAATGACAGGGTTGGTGACAGGCTAGGTGTTGTTTTATATGCAGGACGGTCAGTGCTTAGTCGGTGCATTTTCTTTTCTCCTATTTCCTCCTTTTTCTTTTGTCTGGATTGCGTAGTTTCTAACTTTCCCTGTTAGAGTCATTGCAATGCCATCATGATGACTTAGTCAAAGCCAAAAGCATGAAATCTATAGCTTTATGCTATTTGGAACAAACTGATTGGGCTAGTGGACCCTTAGGACATGTGATTGCAATTTCTTGTAAACTCGGCTTAGAAAATCTGGGAAAAACTTGACTTTTTGGTAATCATGTCCAATTAATAACAATTATTGAGAAGAAAAAAATGTCCATGACGTTTTTCAAAGTCTAGAAATGCTTGTTTACTTAATTGCTTGCACTTTGAAAAGGTCTTGGTTGAAGCGATATATAGTCTTACCGTCTAGTAGTGTACAAGGAAATTACTTTTAAGAGTTTTCTTTATGATAAAACCTAAGGGTAAAGTTCCCTGATTTTTGTGTAACAAAGAATTTTAACATCTTGGATTTCCTGGAACAGCTGGGAGCTCTAAATTAAGCTGGGGCAGACAAGAATATTCTGTTTCATGGTCTCAAACTTCAAGTCACTGAATTGCAACTCATCTCAGTTCCAATTTCTCAATAATCTTAACTTGACAGCCATCATGTGCCAACAAAGGAAACTTCAATGTATTTTTTTCCCCTGAAAGGCGGGAATATTATTGCTGATAGTTTCTCACAGAGGGAAAAAACGAAAAGTAAAGTCCCAGTAGGATTTCAAGAGAAACATGAAAATCCTCAGGATTGAAGATAGGCTTGACATCAGGATTGAGAGACCTGATGACCAAAAACAAAACAAAACATAAAGCAAAATTCCAAGCCTTCTAAATACATTCAATAAAACCCACAAGATCTGCTCTGGCAGTTAACCCCACCATAATCCTTAAAAAACTGACTCTGCAACTAATATAAGAATAAACCAAAGGTGAAGGAGCCCGCAGGAAACTTCAATGTGAGTTGAAGATATCTCCATTTCGAAGAAAAAGTCGAGGTATGTAGAATTGTTGTAGTGTCTGTCATGATTGATGAAGAATTCCAAGGTCAATGAGTGCCTACGGCAGCCATACAAACCAAAGTCTTGCCTTCAAACCTGAAGGTCAATGTTGTTTAGAATGTTCAAACAAATGGCATTTATACTTATCTTCCAAGCAAATAGCTTTCAAACTAGACATCGGTGGACATGGACATCTTCTCTTTCAGTGCTTGTTTCCTCATCATCTTCTTTAAAGCTTCCAACGCACTCGACAAGATTTCTCCATCTGAGTCACTCACTGATGGCACGACCTTGGTCTCTAGTGATGGAAGCTTTGTATTGGGTTTCTTCACTCCGGGGAGTTCCGAGAATCGTTACTTGGGAATTTGGTACAACAACATCCCGATGCAAAATGTTGTATGGGTTGCAAACAGGATAACCCCGATAAATGACACCACTGGCTTGCTGAAGATAGAAAGCACTGGCAGAGTCGTGCTTCTAGGTCAGAACCAAACAACTGTTTGGTCAATTAATTCCACAGGAGCAGCTCAGAATACGATTCTGCAGCTCCTGGATTCAGGCAATCTTGTTGCCAGAGATGGAAACGATGGTGATTCAGAGAACTACTTCTGGCAAAGCTTTGATCATCCAACTGATACAATGTTACCAGGGATGAAGATTGGT